AGGCACACTGGACAAGGATGTCACTGGTAACATTCATTTAATTCAAGGTTAGAGCTGTGAAGATATATATTTCTGGAGGAAGTTTGCAGACAACTGATAGTATTTTTGCTAACTGTGGAATATCTATTTCAGCTTCTTGGGGATCTTCAACCATTCCATGTTGGATTGGTTTTCTCAGATGTTGACATTAGCTCTGAAGAAAACACTTAAGTGTTAAAGAAGACTGAAAGGAAAAACACCAACCAACCCATTTATTGAAAGAATTGCCAGTTGGGTAGATGTGCCTGAAGGCTATACACTTCTGAATACCAGCTGCTGGAAATTGGAGGAGGGGAGATTGCTTTCAGGACCTGCTTGTTAGGCCTCCCAGAGGCATCTGTTTGGCCACTCTGAGAACAGGATACTGGACTAGATCGGCCATTGGTCTGATCCAGCAGGCTCTTATTATGCTAGTTTTTTGCAGCAAGAACAACGAAGAGTCTTGTGGCACCTTCAAGTGGCATAAGGCTCTTTGTAATACTTACTGAAAGTTGGAATTTACGGTAGTTGTCAATTCCATTGGCCAGCAGCTACCATTGAGGAAGCCCTCCAATAGACTCCCAAGGGTGAGGGTGTTCAAAAGGGCATCCCCAACAGGTAGGATGCTGCCTTATAAGGACCCAGACCATTGGTCCATCCAGCTCAGAACTTGCCTATGCTGAAATCTCCCAAAATTTCAGAAAGAGATAATTCACAGTCCTATCTGGAGATGCTGAGGATTGCACCTTCTACATGCAAAGCAGGTGAGCTGGCACCAGGTTGGTATAGAAGTGTTCTGTCAGATGCTTGGGAGCTCAAGCTGCTTAGGGTTTTAATGAAGATCACTTATCACAATCACACACGTCCACTGTGTTTGTTTAGAAAGAAAGACCATCACGAACTCATTTGCATTTCCAAGCCCTTCAAATTTGGATGGGTAGCATTTAGGACAGGAATGGGGATCCTGTGGCCTCTGGGTGTTGCTGGACTGTGTGTCAATCCATCATTCCCACCCACAATGGTGTAGTAAGTAGTAAACATGCAACTCTTGAGATTATTATTTTTCCTGAGCAGCAGTGGTGATTCCTCACCAGCCAGAGCACCAGAGTAATTGGTGGACCCTCCTGGCATTGACAAGTGTGAATGAGGTGATAATGAACCTTTCAGGTTTGATTGTGTCAGATTAGCATAGAGGAAGTGAGAGGTGGGGGTGAGGGCAGAACTGAGCAGAGACTTATTTTCTTAGATGGGATTCCTTCTAAATGCTAGCAGTTTAAATGGTAACACTTTTTTAGGAGACTGTTTGCATTTCTAATTGAAAGCTGATGTTTGCAGCTGGCTGAACATCCTAGGTAGATCGAAGCAAGCACCACTGAATTCAGCAGTTATTCCCAAGAAAACATGCACAGGAGTGCCACCCTGCTAATCTTAATGAACTGGGTTTTATCTATCCATTGCTGCTATTTCTCCTTTCTCTCTCTCTCTCTCTCTCTCTCTCTCTCTCTCTCTCTCTCTCTCTCTGTGTGTGTGTGTGTGTGTGTGTGTACAAAATAATGGACTGACACAGCTGCCTTGTATTTTTGGACTCTCCAGTTGGCAGGAGATGATGACAGGTAACTATGTTGGGGCTGTCATAATAACGAGCACCTGCATTTCATAATTTACCACTGCCCAGTCAGCATGGTCAATGGTGAGAGTGGTAGTCCAATGACATTCAGAGAGCCAGGTTTCCCATCCCACGTTTAGAATGACCCAATGCAAAGGGTGGCAGAGCTCTTGGACCTTTTCACAGCTGTGTAAAATATAAGCAGGTTCCCTGCTAGTCAACCTTCCTAGGGTCTCGTGGCTGTAGTAGGTAGGGTCGGAGGCAAATGTGTGTGCAGCAACCAACACATATTTTACCTCTGTACAGTAGGCAAGTTTCTGCAAACATTCACACACCCCTCAGCGCCCCGACAAGCAAGAGGCATTATCAGAGTTTAAGCGACACATTCAAGGCTGGCAAAACTTTCAGGGTGCATAGGGCCAGTGAGAGGGTGTGGGCTGAGATTTCCACATTCCAGACAGAGAACCTGGACAGCCACACTTGACCCTCAGATCTGACACTTTCCACAACTAAAGAACAGAAAAACAAAAGGCCTGATTTTTTCATTCTTTAGAATTCTAGGAAGAATCAGATAAAACCTCTCTCTCTCTTTCTGTTCAAGTATTTCTACGAGTGATGGTGCACAAGCCTTCAGTTTATTACAGAACTCTTAGTGCCCCCCCTACAGAAAACAATTATTTCAGGGTTTTCCCTCTAGTTTCTTCCCACATCATGAGTCTTCTGTGTCCTCCAATCCCTGGAGCTCCCTACATCAATGAACCGAGACTCTACGTTGAGACACATGACTATGAAGTTTATTGATCATGTCTGCGCTGCACAGCCTCCATGAGGATTCGCACAATGCTATGTGAACTCCTGAAGTCTTTCCCAGCATGCACTTGGCTCTGTGTAAATATTGAAAAGCAGCCTCTGGAGGGTATCTATCTTTGGTTCTATGCAGCCATCTTCATGTATTTGGATGGAAATGTCCCAGGGATTATTAGGGAGCATATTATTCTGATAGCAAACTGCCCATGCTGTATTTAATTTATTAAGTGCAAATTGCCTGCCTGGTGCATCCTAAACAAGCCGTGTTGAATTTAGCAGGCTATATATATGGCATTTTTAGATATAGAGAAAAACAGTGAGTCTGGCTGTGTCTCCTCAGTTCTGTTAAGTTATATAACAGAATCCTACCACTGGTGCTTTCTTCATGTCTTGTTTATCCTTGCATATTCTGAGAATATAACTGATCTTTCCAGTTCAGGTAGGCTTAGAGATTTGGGAAACTGAGAGGGGAAGGGCTCATGGGTGTAGCCATGGGGGGGACAGGGAGGGGCAGCTGCCCCCCAATCAATAAAAATACATAGCGATTATGTATGTCCTGTTTTTACATGTTGGAAACTGCCTTGTGAAGGCTTGTTTGGGCCTAAAAATAATAATAATATTGAATAAGTAAGCAAGCCTAGGACAGATGTCCGAAAACTATATTAAGAGTCAAAGTGAACTATTGTTGTACCATGACTACAGAACGGGTTGCTATCCAAAAACCTGTAAGGAGAAGGCTTCTTCAACACTGGGTCTTCCGATGCTGTTGGACTAGAGATTCCATATTCCTCAGACATTTTAGCCAATGTTTTGGGATGATGGGAGTTGTAATGCAACAACATCCAAGGGCCCAAGGTTGAAGAATACTGTTTATTTAAAGTAGGTTCTAGAGGAGCTATCAGGCTTCCACTTGTACAAGCAAATGAGTAGCTTTGCATTTTACTACCCCATCAACACGCAGCGCTCTGTGAGATGTAAACAGTTCTTTCTTGGGTGGGGGGGGGGGAGAGACGCCTTTTGCAAGTGAAAGGGCACCTTTGGATACAGACTCATAAAACCACATTATGCCGAGTTGGATTTTTGAGGGGTATTTGTCATTAAAGTTTAATCATTTTTGCATCCTCCAAAGCAGGCGAGCATTAAATGTATGACCTCCCACATCTCTCCAATATCTTGCATGAAAGGCAGGAGGAAAAAAATCAATTTTCTCTTGAACATTAGGAAGTCAAGTGGTGTTTATATTTAACCTCAGAGCAATAATTAATTAAAATTACCAACAGGGACCTGCAGCCAGAGATTGGGCTGGATTATTTTGAATCAACATGTGAAACTGATTCTCCACCCCCAATGTGCACAAAGAGTGCCTTGGCCTCTTTTCTGACCTCATCCCACTGTCATCTGCTTCTCTATCCAAAATGCACAGTCCCTCTTGACCTTAAGCCTCATGCATACACAAACACACACAGAGCCAACGTCAATCTTCCATTTCTTTCTTCGGCTACGTTCACACCATACATGTAAAGTGCTGTGATATGACTTTAAACAGTTATGGCTTCCCCCAAAGAATTCTGGGAGCTGTAGTTTGTTGAGGGTCATTAGGAGGACCCCATTCCCCACACAGAGCTTCCATTCTCAGGGTAGTTTAACCATCAATCCCTCTTCACAGGGAACTCTGGGAATCGTAGATCTCTGAGCCCCCCAGAGCTGATAGCCTAAATTTGCATCTATTCGTATACATCAGGATACATACATTTTATGCAAATTTGTGTCATGGGCCTGTGCCACAGAGATTTAAAAATACTCCTGGAGTGAACGTATTTGCATATTCATTTTACCAGCCCTAAATTGCTTTGTTTTTGTTTTTAATATGTGTTTTGTGTCTTTATACAGTGGTACCTCGGGTTACATACGCTTCAGGTTACATACGCTTCAGGTTACAGACTCCGCTAACCCAGAAATAGTGCTTCAGGTTAAGAACTTTGCTTCAGGATGAGAACAGAAATTGTGCTCCGGCGGCGCGGCGGCAGCAGGAGGCCCCATTAGCTAAAGTGGTGCTTCAGGTTAAGAACAGTTTCAGCTTAAGAACAGACCTCCAGAACGAATTAAGTACGTAACCAGAGGTGCCACTGTATTGTGATTTTAGGTTGTGAGCTGCCCTGAGACCTCTGGGTATAGGACAATATATTACTACTACTAATAATAATAACAACAATTTGTTCCCAGTGACATTGTCAAACCCAATTGGTTGTTATTTTATTTACTGATGTCCAATAAACACAACACGTAAACCCCAGCATTGTGATGTCATCCTGTTCACTTTGTGATTCCTGACTGGGAATGTGAAATTATTCCGAAAGGAGGAAGAAAAATCAGCCAGCTTTTGGGTGTTTGGGAATATGTATGTATGATTGTGTGTTGGGAACTGTGGTAAGAAGCAGCAGCTAGTTAATAGCAGCATCAAACAAGATGGCGACAAGGTGAGCATCTTCACAATCTAAAAGTCTCTAGTTGCACCAAAATGTTCCATCCCATAGAAATTGTTAGCTTGACCCCCCAAAATAGAAACTGGTGAAGATTTGGTGCAGAGTATATTCAAGAACTTGCAGGAGACACATTTTAAAATGTTATAGGGAAACTGGCCTATGTCAATCCTAAACAAGCAATACATAGCATTTTAAGAATTCTCATTTTGCTCCAGTCTTAGTCAAATGCTTTTCAGGAAACATAATAATCTGTTTAAATATTGCAGATGGATGGATTCACCTCCCCTAGTTCTGCCCTAAGGCTAATTATCTGGCATGAACTCCTCTCTAATTTTTCTGACACGATTGTCACACCTCATTCTGACTGATGTGGACACCTTGCATTATGAAAGAATAATGCTTATAGCTGGAGATAGCGAAATGCTATGGTATGGAAGTCACGTGCTAACATAATGAGAAAGATCAAGAGCTTAGCAGCATATCCAAATCTATTTCATTCTCTCCAACCTGTACAGTTCGAAAGCAGCTTGGTGGTTAGTGTAAGTGACTAAAGAACTTGTCCAGCTGTCTACAAAAGCCAGCTTTGATCTCACCTTCCAAATGACTTTGCATGGTTCTAACTCCTGACCCAGCTATTTTGTGCTTTGTTTGGAATGATATTCCTAATGGAGAATTCTCAACATGTACAACACCCTCAAGTATGTGTCATGAATGTTCACGTGTCTCTTTCATTGTGCAAACATAGCAGGAATCCACTGGTCTTCAGGAAGGCTTTTTTGCCACTGTGAAAAAGAAAAAGTGAGATCCTTATTTATTTCTTTTTTAAAATTTTAAACACATATTCTCCCACTTCCTTCCCCAACCCGCCCCCTCCCCACAACCCAGGTTAGCATATCCATGTCAAACAGCTCTTACTATCAGAAAATTATTCCTGATGTTTAGTCGGAATCTCCTTTATTGTAACTTGAAGCCATTGATTAGAGTTCTCACCTTGTAGTGCATGCATGCTACATGCAATTTCCTATTACGCCTACGTAGGGAATCTGGTTTGTTTTAAATGCCCCTCACTCTCAGCTGTAGACAAAAGGCTTTTCTGCACAATACACCCAGTGTGACCTTATGAGTTTGCTGCTTGATCACTGGTTTTGCCTAAGCAACTCAGGAAGGGAGTTCTTGGGCTTGACAAAAGAACCTTAATGTTCCATGATGGCTGTGGATATTTCTCTGAATGGGCAGTTCCCCTTTTCGGGGTATGTGTCTGGAATGAGGATTTTGTTGTTGTTTAGTCGTGTCCGACTCTTCGTGACCCCGTGGACCAGAGTACGCCAGGCATTCCTGTCTTCCACTGCCTCCTGCAGTTTGGTCAAACTCATGCTGGTAGCTTCGAGAACACTGTTCAACCATCTCGTCCTCTGTCGTCCCCTTCTCCTTGTGTCCTCAATCTTTCCCAACATCAGGGTCTTTTTCAGGGAGTCTTCTCTTCTCATGAGGTGGCCAAAGTATTGGAGCCTCAGCTTCAGGATCTGTTCTTCCAGTGAGCACTCAGGGTTGATTTCCTTAAGAATGGATAGGTTCTTGCAGTCCACGGGACTCTTAAGAGTCTCCTCTAGCACCATAATTCAAAAGCATCAATTATTTGGCAATCAGTCTTCTTTATGGTCCAGCTCTCATTCCCATACATCACTACTAGGAAAACCATAGCTTGATCTGGCAAGTGTGACAGTTTTTGAAGAGAGGAAGAGAGAGGCAAGGGGCCATGTTGTGACCTTCAGCACCTTGAGGCGAATGGCCAGTGTGGTAGTCTCGTAATCTGGGGAACCGGGTTCGCGTCTCCGCTCCTCCAGATGCAGCTGCTGGGTGACCTCGGGCCAGTCACACTTCTCTGAAGTCTCTCAGCCCCACTCACCTCACAGAGTGTTTGTTGTGGGGGAGGAAGGGAAAGGAGAATGTTAGCCGCTTTGAGACTCCTTCGGGTAGTGATAAAGCGGGATATCAAATCCAAAACCTTCTCTTCTTCTTCTCTTTGGGAACCCCTGATCTGGGGTTTGCTTTATTTCAGATATTTCTCAGTCAGCTTCCCAGATTATAGCCTTCCTACCGAGGCTTACATTAATACGAATGATACAGTTTCATTAAAAGCAAGCATTAACAAACACACAATGAAAAAATCACCATAAACTGGCCGGTTTAAATAAGTCCAACATAGCAAAATTCAACAAGAACCAACAAACAACCAGCACCTGCCCAGAGAACAATAAAATATTTAGAAGGCAAGGAAAACAGAACCACATTTCATCCTCTTAAAAGCTTTAACTGAAGGATCCAGCTGTTTATCTCTCAGAGCTGAGTCGTCATTATAACTGATCTCAAAGGCAGGTACCATGAGGTACGCTGACAAGCTGTGGAGTTAGGGGAGAGCTGTGAGGGAGCTGCAGGGGGCGCTGCAACAAAGACTTAGAAGGCGAGAGGCACAGGGTGCAGCTGAAATTCGAAAGCCCTAAGTCTGCCATTGCATACTGCAAACACTGTCTCAATGCCACGCGGAAAACAAACTGCACACTGAACTGTCCAGAGGGTCTCAAGACAGGACTAGCTTTTGACGTAAGAGTGCCTCCATTGCCATGCTCATAATGAGGTCATCAGCAAGCAAAATAGTTTTACCACACAATCTCAGCCAAGCAGAACCTGATGCCATCCACAGGCTCGGAAGCAATCCTGACATCATAATTAAAGAGACGAATCATTGCTCCTCTCTCATTCTGAGTCTTCAAACTGGCCTCTTCTGCACACAGACAATACCACCTTTCAGTCGGGGGGGGGGGGAGACTTGCCCTATTTGTCATACTGGCTGTCATCTTCTTGAAGTGTCTCCAGCTATTTAGTTTCTGTAGCAACCTATTGCTGTAGCTTACATTACTTTGTACTTTGGCCACCTCATGAGAAGAGAAGACTCCCTGGAAAAGACCCTGATGTTGGGAAAGATGGAGGGCACAAGGAGAAGGGGGTGACAGGGGACGAGATGATTGGTCAGTGTTCTCGAAGCTACAAACATGAGTCTGACCAAACTGTGGGAGGCAGTGGAAGACAGGAGTGCCTGGCGTGCTCTAGTCCAGGGGGTCACGAAGAGTCGGACACGACTAAACGACTAAACAACTACAACAACAACATTACAAAAGAGAGATAATTCACAGTCCTGACCAGGGCTAGTTACTTGACAAAGCCATTTGATTGGTCATTGTAGTATTTCTCTTCTGCAGAATACAATCTTACAGCTATAAAAATTACAGGGATGATGGGACATCAAGAGTCATTGTACAGGGTGAGTCCTTTACAAGAGGTCCTGTGGATACAGAGTACACATGTTCTACGGGGCCTCTTATAAAAGACTCACCCTGTATATTTGTATATCTGCAACTGAGACAAAATAAAAAAATTCCTTCCAGTCGCACCTTAGAGACCAACTAAGTTTGTTATTGGTATGAGCTTTCGTGTGCATGCACACTTCTTCAGAAGAAGTGTATCTGAAGAAGTGTGCATGCACACAAAAGCTCATACCAATAACAAACTTAGTTGGTCTCTAAGGTGCGACTGGAAGGATTTTTTTTATTTTGTTTTGACTACGGAAGACCAACACGGATACCTACCAGTATCTGCAACTGAGAGTTACATTTCATGCATCTGCTGAAGGGAACTCTAGCCCATGAACGCTTGTCATGATAAACATTTGTGGCTTTAAGGTGCCACAAGAACGCTGATCATATAGGAGTGACACTCTTGTCTCCACTTGCGCTCTGCTAGTATAAAGCAAATTTTATCAAATTGCAGTGCGCTTCAGTGCCCCCACATCCAAATGAGACTTCAGCCTGCTGTTTTAAGTCCAAAGAGCACATGGCAGTGTTTGCTGTGAAACCGATGCTTGTGCCACCATTCCCACACTTTTGAGAATTCCGGGGCTCCTTCTACTTTCTCTCTAGGTGGAACTGCCCAAAGAGGAAGGAAGTAGGAACAGCAGCTGCCTTCTCTTGCTCGCACACTTCCCAGTTACATTCCCACCCTGGAAGTGGCAGAACTCAGAGGAGGCGCCCCTGGGGAGTTGGAGCTCCAGCAACTTTTTGGCCGGGTGTGTGCCTGACTCCTGGTCATTTTCAACCTCGGCTGCAAAGCAGGCGAAGGGAGTAACAAGAGAGCGTCTTAAACCGCCGTCCCCCACGTCCTGGAGAGTTAACGCGCATCTGCTTTACGACCTGTCTGCTGTTCGTTGCCCATCTCTTTCCACCAGCTCTTTCTCCTGTCTGTAGAGCCGGTGAGTGAGAAGAAAACGAAGATCTCTCCGGCATTCACTAAAAAAAGGGGAGGACTTGAGCGCCGCCGGCCTGTAGGCGCATGCGCGCCGGGCGAGAGCAGGGTGCCTATAATAACAGAGAAAGCGAGGGAGTAGCGAAGGGAGCCCCGCGCGCGCACAAGCAGCCAGCCAGTAGCTCCAGGAAACGGAGCCTGGAGTTGTGTTGCAGGCGCTCCTGGTGGCGTGCCGAGCGGGGCTGGCTGGATAGAAGCAGAGTTTGTTGCCCGCGTTGGAAAAAGCCAGACCGCCGGAGTTTCCTGCTGGCCTCTCCAAGCAGAGCGCAGAGGAGGCAGAACCAGAGGCAAAGAAGGGGAACTCCGCTCTCCAGAACTCCTTCCCGGCTCCACGTCCACCCGCGGCGCTGCCCCGAAGTCGGAGCTGACTCCCTGGAAGGCCGGCGGGAGATGCGGACCAGGAGCAACGACTCCTAGGCGAGCGGGACCTCCCTGTCGGGACTTGCTTGGGCAGACAGGGGCCAAACGAGGCGCAGCCGCGACGGTGCGCGCGGGTAGAAGGCGAAGCGCCAGGAAGGGGAGTGACGCTCCGCTGTGGCGGCGGCGGCAGTGGCTGGGGTCTCCCTCGGAGGGTCTCCCGCCTGCCCACGGACTCGTCTCGCCGCAGGCGCGTGCCGGGCGCCCCCTCGGACCCTCGCTGTGTTATGGTTGCCGGAGCGCCCGGCTCAGTCCCGCCTACCCGGGGGCATCTCTTCGCCCGCCACAGCCCGGGCTCTCCTGCCTTCCCGGCTGCAGAACTAGGCTGTGGGGGTCGCTGCCTCTTCGACGAGCGGCCGGCGGCTCGGCCGGCTCCCTCGTCGCGCTCCTCCCCTCGGCGCCTCGGCTCGGGTTGCTGAGCAGGGAAGGTCCCGCGCGGGATTCCCAGGCGCTTCGCCGACAGCCAACTGTTCGCGCCGCAGTACCCAGAGCGGCAAAGGCGCCACCTCCATTAGCGCCGAATGACTCCGCCGTGGGGCGCCGCTTCCTCCTCTTAGGAGATTGTCCGGGATTCCGTGGGGCTTGACAGAAAGGCTGGACTCTTTCTCGAGGGCTACGCTTGCTGCCCGTCGCCGGCGAGGGGACGGACTCCGGGAGGCTAGCGCGCTCCTTCAGCCGGACTTGAGCCCTTTCTGGGAGCTTGGATATTTCTCTGCGCTCCTTTCTCCTGCCCAGCAACTGCGGGACTTTGTTCCTAGCGCCCCTCACAAGCTGGCTTCTTGAGGGCTCGCCGGCTCCATATCCTGCACAGACTTGGCGCGCCCATTTTCAGGCCAGGCGACCCTGGACACGCGGCGGCAACCTCTCACGCGTGGCTGTCCCCCACTCCCACGGCCACGTGCTTTCCGCACAGCGAGGCTTGTGGCACACACGTGTCTACACAACCACCCGCAGCTGCTGCATTCACACGCGCGCCCCCTTCCCCGCACACTCACTGAGTGTGCCTCGTTTGTGCCTCGACCCAGGCTGTGAGGAGAGGGGCGCCTGCCTGGTCTCCGAGGCCCGCCTGCGGGCGCCCGCCTGCTGCCGCCCCCTCGCGGTGCCATGTGGAGGGGGCGCTGTTCTCTGGGAGGGCGGCCTGGGGCGGCGCTGCTGCTGCTGCTGCTTGTGGGGCTGGCGGCGAGCGCGCGGGCCAGCGGCGAGTATTGCCACGGCTGGCAGGACGGGGCGACTTGGCGCGACGGCTTCCAGTGCCCGGAGCACTTCGACGACGGCGACGCCACCATCTGCTGCGGCACGTGCGCCCTTCGCTACTGCTGCTCCCGCCCGGAGGCCCGCCTGGACCAGGGCGTCTGCGACAACGACCGGCAGCAAGGGGGAGCCGAGCACGGCCGGCCCGACAAGGACATCCCCGACGGCGCAGCAGGTACAAAGCGGAGGGGAGGGACACGGGAAGCTGCCTCGTTGCCTGATGTTGAGTGAGCTAGTTTGGTTGAGCTCAGTATTGCCTACACTGACAGGCAGTAGCATCCCCAGGATTTCAGAGTCCCTCCCAGCACGACCTGGAATTGAACCCCGGGACCTTCTGCATGCCAAGCAGCTGCCCTACCACTGAGCTACAGCCCTTCCCATATTTATCATAGTTGCATTGCTTTCTTTAAAAACGAAACAACCCATCTATTCCTAGATCTTAGCCCCCACCTTGTCTCAAGGCCCAGGATTATTATTATCCTACACTCAGGGAAGATACACACACAGGACTCATCTACACAGCTGCAAATAAAACGTTTTAAATGTGTTGGAAAGTGCAATATACAAATGAGACACTAGATGGCAACAGTGAGCTATGCAAAATCCAATGTATTTTTTGAAACCTTTTTAAAAAAGCATTTTCACAGTGTTTTTAATATGTACTTAGATTCCACCACAGACTCTGAGAACAAGGTACTCTTCTGCTGTGCTCATTAGTACCGCAGGCAACAGATTTCTACCCACCCACCTCTCACCTGCCCACTTAACACAGAGAAGTTTCTTTAGCAGGTCTATCAATGCAGCACTTGACTAGTCTCTCGGGGTTTACCCATGTGGCATGCATAAGGCATGGCATGTGCCACTTGTGAATGTTGTTCTTGTGGGGTGGAAAGAACTTTTATTAAAAATATTGTGGACTATGCAAGTTGCAACCAATTTAGGACTTCTGTTTGAAATAGTAATTCGCAAGCTGCTTCAGGGCCAGGTTCACACATGACACTAAAGAAATGCACTTGAGCCTTTCTCACGCGCTGTTTAGGGGCAGGAGAATGTTGTTGATGCAGGGCTGAAAGACATTTTTAAATCTTACGACGTCCTTTCTGGGCTTTGTAGGTAGGTAGCTCCTACCCTGCCTTTCCCCTCAAACTCATCCTTCCCTCGCACACGTGCCTGTAGAAGTTTACAACAGGCTATCAAGTTTAGCAGTGCCAGAGTGGTAATTGCAATATGGGGGCCATCAGGTAGAGGCCACTCAAAAAATGCCCTTGGCCCTGTTTATATGCCAACATAAGTCAATTACTGGTGCTTTCATTAATGATTGGTGTTGTTTTTCTCGAGTCGATGAAGCATGTGAAGCAGTAACCTTCCCTTCCTTTTCTCAGTTCCCACAGCTGGAAAACCTTCTATTCCTCAGTGCTTGGGGGGGGGGGAAGAGAAATAAACAAATAGGTGGATCTTTTCCATGCTGATACACTGAGGAAGTAGTAGCCAGTTTATTTTCCTTGAAGTGGGAAGTTGGTTAGTTATTGCAAATTGCTCCTTTTGTGCATAGGTGCCAACTCCCTGGGGTGCCTGAGCACCCACAAATTTCACTACTACATGACACCCATGGCCCCAGGCACCCATGGTTGCAGGGCCAAGCTGGCATTCCTGCTTGTGTGCATGAATATTAAGAACAGGCATAGGTAAACTCGGCCCTCCAGATGTATTTGAGACTACAATTCCCATCATCCCTGACCACTGGTCCTGTTAGCTAGGGATGATGGGAGTTGTAGTCCCAAAACAGCTGGAGGGCCATGTTTGGCCATCACTGACTTAACTCAACTGGCCTTACCTCTGAATTGACACACGTAGGACTGTAAGCCTTACTGCTTTCAGAGGGAAAGAGAAGCACAAAGCTAAATACACTCTGCTGAACTCTCCTACTGAAATAAATGGGATTTAAAACTTTGGCTGGATCACATTTTCATTTTATTTACTCATGATGTAATTATTTTAATCAGCTATGACAGCCCACTAAGAATTTCTAAATAAGTTCAAAAATTATGGAGCCGAGCTCTGCAGTCCACCTTCTACAAAGCCATTATAACTTTAATGACTTTGAACTAAAGTGTATACAGTGCTGCCAAAGTATTTTTGAGAACATAGATGAGGTGACAAACACGCTGCTAATAAGCACAGTGGTTATAAAACAGGCTGGTGCAGCTGTTGACTTCAATGAGCCCAAGAGTACTTCCTTGCTGGGTAGTGACCAATACCTCAACTCATGTTCCACTGAAATCAGTAGGTCTTATGCAATGTGCTTAGGATTTTTATGAAGCATTGTTCATCAAAATTTAATAACACTTAAGTTTCCAGTATCTGAGTAATGAGGCTTTTTTCTTAATGCTCATCTTTTTAAAAAAATCATACTGCAAATAATAATAAAAACTGCAGGTGGCAAACGTCACCTGAGAAGAGTCATCCCCATCTTTCTTTTATTGCATGCACGATTGGGAGTTTGCCTTCTAAGAGGTGGCTTGTTGTGTCATGAGTGTATCATCTAAAATGAAAGGGTTGGGTCCAGGGTTGCTCTCAGTGCAGTTCTGCTCTTGCTGAAGGAAGGGGGCAGTGTGTGGTCTTTGTGATGTCCTCCTTCCCCTGCCATTCCTGGAAAGCTGCTGTGGGAGAACTTCCCCAGAGCAGCATGAGAGGTTGCATAGGGGATGATTGACAGGTGGGTGCAGGAATAAGCAGGGAGTCTCCACTGGACCTCAGTGCGTTTCATGAATGGAGCTCTTCCATCTAGACCCTAACCATAGAAATTATGTTGCTTCCTTCTGAACTGATTATTATTTTAACTTGCATTCAAATTTAATAAATTAACTCACTAATCATGTAAAACTGATATGACTGACTGGACTTGAGATTTCTTTAACTGGGCAACAGAGTACCTTAGCCTCACAACAGTTCTTATGCTATATCATAAGCAAATAGAGAGGAAATAATAACCTCGTGGCTAAGCGGGAATTTCAACCTTGGTCTTCCCGCTACCAGCTTGACTAACTGCCCCACCCACAACAGCCTAAATTCGGGAAGGAATGCTATTGAATTGGGATCTGTACAGGACACAGCTCATCCAATAAGTCATGCAAATCAGCTATCGGATAATCCTGTGCAAAACAGTTCCAAATGCTCAGTTCAAGTTGCACAGTGTGGACGCGCCTTTCCATCCATGTTGTGATGCAGGTTGTCATAGTAGTAGCAGTGATTATTATTTCAACTATAGCAATGACAACTTAGTTCAGTAGGAAGAGCCAAGTTATGGAAAACAGCCAGGATCTGAAGCAGGTTTACCTGTGGGTCAATCAGGAAGCAGTAAGACTGGGGTAGCCAACGTGGTACCCTCCAAATGTTTTGGACTGCTGCTCTCATCATCCATGAACATTGGCCGTGCTGGCTGAGGATGATATCCAATTACAGGGTACCCTCGGGTTACATACGCTTCAGTTTACAGAATATGCTAACCAGAAATAGTGCTTCAGGTTAAGAACTTTGCTTCAGGGTGAGAACAGAATAGTGCTCCGATAGCGCGGGCAGCAGCAGGAGGCCCCATTAGCTAAAGTGGTGCTTCAGGTTAAGAACAGTTTCAGGTTAAGTACGACCTCCGAAACGAATTAAGTACTTAACCGGAGGTACCACGGTAGATTGTTCTTACCTTGTTGTTCAGGGGAAAGAGAATTAAAATGATTCTGAAACAGAAGAGATTGTATACAAGCTGATATACAATATGATACAAGCGGTTCCTCTTTGTGTAGCTGCTGAAATAGAGGGAAGTGGGGAATAGGCAGGCACCAGTGGCTTGAGTGCCACAGCTGGCAATGTTACGCAGCCATCATTCATGCTTTACAAATGTTCAGAATTCTGAGTTTCCCTTTTATTCCTGTTTTGATGGGTATGGTGTGTTAGCCTCAGTATTCTAGGTGGCAGCATTACCCAGAATATCTCAAGATGAGTTGTATTTCAGACCTGACATCCTAGCATGCATTGATTTTTGTCTCCCAATTTAAACAAGAAAATCCCAGGAAAGACAAGTTGTTCTGGGGGAGGGAAACCGCCCCCCCCAAAAGCAACGTGACACTTCATTTCGCCTCCAAACCCTACCTGTTGCTGTGTGAATAAACAGCGTCACTTCCTAATCATGTATTTATGTGATTGGATTTCAAAAGGTAAACTTCAGCCCTCTTTGGGAAAGCCCTGGTTGCTTCCCAGCGCTTCCCCCTGCTGTTCATGAATCCTAAACACATCAGAACTAGCCTGAAGTTACGTTATAATTAGAGCTGGTTTACTCCCGGAAAGTGTGCTTGTTGCAGCGAGAGCATTAATTTCAATAAGGTTTGTAACAGGGTGCCTGTTCCCCATTGAAATTAATGGAGAGATTGCACAACAGCAGAGCTTCGGGGTTTACTTACAAAAAGAACAGCAACACTTCGCTATAAACCACCTTTCTCTAGAAGTTCATTGCCATATTGAGCCAGCTTTTATAGACTTTGCAGCAGTGCTATCCTGTACAAAGCTATTCAGATGTGAGCCTCACTGAGTTTGCCTGTTTACTCCCAGGTAACTGCGCACAAGATTGCTGCCTTCATGTTAAAAGAGATGTGGTTTTTCTCCTCTCATATCTTGCAATGCAGGGACGCGGGTGGCGCTATGGGTTAAATCACAGAGCCTAGGACTTCCCGATCAGAAGGTCGGTGGTTCGAATCCCCGCGATGGGGTGAGCTCCTGTTGCTCGGTCCCTGCTCCTGCCCACCTAGCAGTTCGAAAGCACGTCAAAGTGCAAGTAGATAAATAGGTACCGCTCCGGCGGGAAGGTAAACGGCGTTTCTGTGTGCTGCTCTGGTTCACCAGAAGCGGCTTAGTCGTGCTGGCCACATGACGTACGCTGGCTCCCTCGGCCAATAAAGCGAGATGAGCGCCGCAACCCCAGAGTCGGTCACGACTGAACCTAATGGTCAGGGGTCCCTTTACCTTTATCTTGCAATGCAGGGGCCATAAGAAAGCAACAAGGCAATTTAGTGTGAACTAGAGAAGAGCTGAAATCCGTTATTGGACTTTCCCCCCTACTAAATATCTGTGTCCCACTTTTACTCACCCATCCCCATAGAAAAAGGCCACTTCGAAGAATTTTCTTCAGATACTCTTCTCTACTTCGTGTTTGTGGTGTCTGCTATTCCACTCCCTTTCAAGGCCCTTGAACAATGCCCCACTCAGCGGAGGAAGCAGCACAATGTCGGCCAGATTTCCAGCAAAATTGCTTCTGCTACTGCTCGTAGTTGTCACAAATGAAAACTTTCAAGATGGCTTTAAGCTCCTGCCATGGCTAACTGCAGAGTCCCACTCCCTCCAAAAGTTGGGGCATTTCAGTGAAATGTCGTTTCTCCAGTTTCCCTGGAGTTTCCAGTAGGGTGAATAATTTCAAGAGGCCACTTGCACACAGGTGTAATGAGAACCAGGCAGAGGGCCTTCTCGGTAGTGGCGCCCGCCCTGTGGATATGCCCTCCCATCAGATGTCAAGGAAATAAACTATCTGGCTTTTAGAAGACATCTGAGGGCAGCCCTGTTTAGGGATGTTTGATGTTTTATTGTATTTTTAATATTCTGTTGGGAGCCGCCCAGAGTGGCTGGGGAAACCCAGCCAGATGGGTGGGGTATACATTAATTTTATTATTAATAATAATATTACTACTACTACTACAGTGGTACCTCTGGTTACGAACTTAATTCGTTCCGGAGGTCCGTTTTTAACCCGAAACCGTTCTTAACATGAGACGCGCTTTCGCTAATGGCGCCTCCCGCTGCTGCCGCTGCGCTTCTTGCGTGTGGCTTCCGCTTGCATCCCGGGGCAAAGTTCGCAACTGGGAGCATCTACTTCCGGGTTAGCGGAGCTCGTAACCTGAAGTGTTCGCAAGGAGGACGGCATGTAACAGGAGGTTCCACTGTACTACTACTACAAGGGCAGAACTGGATGGTACCCAAAATATGGCGGTGCCACCAAAAATGGCATGCTTGGGGTGAGTCCCCTCTCCCCTGTAGTAATGGAAGCCAGATGACATGATCTTGGCATGCAGTGTGTTTCTCACAGTGGCTGTCAAATACGTGAAATGACCGTGGGGGGGGGGGGGAAAGCACGACAGGATGATACCATACAGTCAATACTTCTTCCCTTCTCCATGTTGCCCTCGCAACAACCCTGTGAGATAGGTTAGGCTGAGAGAGGGTGACTTGCCCAAGTTTGCCCAGTCAGCTGAGCGGGGATTTGAACCTTGGCCTCCTGGGTCCTAGTCTAACACCCTAACCATTACGCTACGCTGGCTGTGACTGAAGAATGAAGGGAAAAAGCTACTACCCTCTCAGTTTATTATGCGCTTTCAATAAAAAACTTGCTTGCCTCTTTGTTTCCTTTAAAGAGTTTTTCTTTTCTGTTGGCAGTGCCTATCTACGTGCCCTTCCTTATCGTGGGCTCTGTTTTCGTCGCGTTCATCATCTTGGGGTCCCTCGTAGCAGCTTGCTGCTGCCGCTGCCTGCGCCCCAAGCAAGAGGCCCAGCAGAGCCGGCCTCCTGGAGGCAACCGGATAATGGAGACTATTCCCATGATCCCAAGTGCCAGCACCTCCCGCGGATCCTCCTCACGTCAATCAAGCACCGCTGCCAGCTCCAGCTCCAGTGCCAACTCAGGTGCCAGGCCTCCCCCTACCAGGTCGCAAACCAACTGCTGCTTACCAGAAGGGACCATGAATAATGTATACGTCAACATGCCTACTAATTTCTCAGTACTGAACTGCCAGCAGGCTACGCAGATAGTGCCTCACCAAGGCCAGTATTTGCACCCACAGTATGTGGGTTACGCTGTACCCCACGACTCTATGCCCATGGCCCCTGTGCCCCCTTTCCTCGACGGCCTGCAAAGTGGATACAGGCCAATTCAGTCTCCTTATCCCCACAGCAATAGCGAACAGAAGATGTACCCAGCAGTGACTGTGTAGGGAAGAAACAGCAACAGACACCCAAGCAAAAAAATAAAATAAAAAATAAAAATATTGCCGCAACGGACTGTGAGCAGAGGAAAGGAATGCTTTTGGAAAGAAGCTTGCCGAACTTCATTTGTAAATAATTTTGGAAGGCTCATGCATGTCGGGACAGTATTTATAGACTGCTTTCTTTTCGTTCAGTTCAGTTGCCAAAAGAACTGCATGAGGATACCTTTGATTTAACATTTCCAGATAACATTTCCATTCCAGTGCATGATTTACAGGGGCAAAGGATTATGCTGAAGAGGCATCTACATTTCGGTTAGACAAGTGTGTGTGTGTGTGTGTGTGTGTGTGTGTGTGTGTGTGATTAAATGCCTGAGCCACTAAGTGCCCTTGAAGGTGCTACACAGTCGATGGTATTTACCTAGTGAATAGAAAACCAGCTTGTTAAATGGTACGAAATAATTGTTTTAGAAGTGTCTTTCCCCCAGAGTTTTAACTACCCTTCGTATTGCTGTTCTGACAATCACACTGACGACAGAAGGATGAACAGTGCAATCCTGGTTAGTTACATAGTCCTAGAAGTTTGACTTGAAATTACAGGGAGGGACCATATCTCAGTGGTAGGGCGCATGCTTGGCATGCAGAAGGTCCCGTGATTAAACCCTCGCATATCCAATTGTTCTTGTTGTTTTTTTGAAAAAGCAGGGATAGTTCTCCTGAGGTCCCCCAGTTGTTTCTAGACTCCCAACTCCCATCAGCATGGCCAGTGGTCAGGGATTATGGGAGTTGCAGTCCAGCAACATCTGGAGAGCCAGAGGTTCCCCATCCCTATTAAAGGACCAGGCAGCAGGTGAAGGAAGGACCATCTACCTGATAGCCTGCAATCAGGGTAGGCAGCACTGGGCTAGGTGGACAAACAGCTGTGACTTCATATAAGACGGCTTCCTACGTTCCTAGTATCTTATCTACCCTTTGCCATATCGCAAACTGCTTTTGAAAGCCTACTTTTCCATCGTGAAACAGTTGGCCGTGTGGTATTGGTAAGGGAGCTGTTTGAGAAGCTCAAGCCCAGAAGCCATTCAGGTGTGTGGATGTAGCTACATACTTCTTTGGATCCTGGCAATGCTCAGGAGCCGAGCATTTTGCAGAAGTGTGGCTTGCCTTAGCGATTTTCAAAGCAGAAGTGAATGTGAAGGGTTCGCTTTTATTCCAGCTGAAGTACCCACAATAGCCTCAGTACCCGCTTTGTTTGTGCATGCCAACAAAAGTGTAGCTGCATTTGTTTGCAAACGCCACTTGCAATGCTCAAAAAACGCCTTCGGAATTTGGGCATTGGTGGTGTGAGATTAAGTGGGTTGCATCCAAGACTTTTTCCCAGCATGGCTCCTTATCCTCATTTCCAGTTCAACGGACAGGCCCTGGTTGCTTGGACCACATGGAAATGGGATTCGTATCTGACACAGATAGAAGTGGTCAGCCCAAACAACAGAGCAGGGAAAGACGTGCAGAGGTAGAAAAGGTGGCTGCCTGGAAAACCTCTTTTTGTTGAAGTACAGACAATTCCCCGGTTGCACGGGGGTTGCTCTGTGGTGCACAATTGGAGCACCCATTGAAAAAGCCTCCAAGCACCCTGTGCTTCCCCCCCCCCGCCCCATTCCACCCCCTTTTGTGATGTTTTTGAATCCCTTCCTGGTTCAGCGTGATGCGTGTGCATGTGGTCATGCACATATCAGATGCACCTAACCACCAGTTGCTGCCTGTAAAAGTATTAGAAGCGTGACATCACCACACATTTCCGTTGTGTACAGATTCATTCATTAGCGAAATAATTCCGCATGATGTAAAGCAGTGTTTCCCAACCTTTTTTGGGCAAAGGCACACTTCTTTCATGAAAAAAATCTCGAGGCACACCACCATTAGAAAATGTTAAAAAATTTAACTCTGTGCCTATATTGACTATATAAAAAGTACAGTGGTGCCTCGCAAGACGAAATTAATTCGTTCCGCAAGTCTCTTCGTCTTGCGAGTTTTTCGTCTTGCGATGCACGGTTTCCCATAGGAATGCATTGAAAATCAATTAATGCGTTCCTAGGGAAACCGCCTTCAGACCAGGTCCGGGGACAGTCTGTCCCCCGACCTCTTCTGAAGGCTGGGGGGGGGGCAAGGGCTTTTCTTCCCACTGCCAGCCTTCAGAAGGCTGTTCTGAAGGCTGGCGGTGGGAAGAAAAGCCCTTCTTCCCACCTCCCGCCCCGCAAGCTCCGGGGACAGGAGGGCTTTGCTGCCGACCGCCAGCATTTTAAAAGCCCCTGCTGTCCCGGGGCGATTTTAAAATGCTGGCGGGCGGGAGCGAAGTCTCCGCTGCCCCGAGGAGATTTTAAAATGCTGGGGGTCGGCAGCGAACGCTTCGCTCCCGCCCGCCAGCATTTTAAGATCGCCCGGGGCAGCGGAGAAGTCTCCGCTGTCCCGGGAAGGCAGGCGGGGGGAGCAAAGACTTTTGCCCCCGCCTGCCTTCAGAAGAGGTCCAGGACCTCGTTCCGATGCCGGGCGGCGGGGGGAGAGGTTCCCGCCCCACCACCCGGCATCGGGGCATCGTTCCGATGCCCGGCGGCGGGGGGAGAGGTTCTCGCCCCACCGCCCGGTATCGGGGCATCGTTCCGATGCCCGGCGGCGGGGTGCGAGGTTCCCGCCCCCCCGCCCCGCTTCGGAGCACCGGGAGAAGCGACCTCCCCGCAGCCCCTTGCTTCAAAAGAGGTCCGGGGGCAGCGGGGAAGAAGCGCTGCGCTTCCCGCTGCCCCCGGACCTCTTTTGAAGCAAGGGGCTGCGGGGAGATCGCTTCTCCCCGCAAAGCCTTGCTTCAAAAGAGGTCCGGGGGCAGCGCGAAGTGCTTCCCGCTGTCCCCGGACCTCTTTTGAAGCAAGGGGCGGTGGGGAGAAGCGATCTCGGGCGCCGCGGCGCGCAGGCCGCACTGCTCGCTCCTCTTTCCGCGCAGGCGCCTTCTCTCGCTCTTTCGCCTCCTTTTCTTTCTCTCTCGATGGTCCGCCTACAAAGGAGCGAGGGAGGCGCCCGCCATGTTTGGATTTGCATCCAGCAGGAGATGCCGCCGCCGCCCCGCCTCTCCCGCCTCCCTCCCACGGCACACCAGGCAAGGTCTCACGGCACACCAGTGTGCCGCGGAACACCGGTTGGGAAACACTGATGTAAAGGTCTTTGGGCGACTCAAGGGATGATATTGCACTAAACCGGGTTGATTTAATCTTTATCAGCAGCTAAGTTTCTGGCAGTTGTTATAAAAGAAGCGGAAGGTCTGTGTTAATTGTTAATGTATTTTTTGCTTCAGAAATCCAGGATTTGCTTTCTCGTTAAAAAAAACCACCAAAAAAACCACACCACTATGTAGCAATATAATTCATTTATATTGTCTGCTGAAGTTTGACACTTGCATATTGACACTGTGCCAAGACTTTGTTCCTTCTGCTTCACCCCTGATGCTCTGTGCACAAGAGATAAATGCAGGAGAAAGAGATGCTCTTGCACAATGAAACAGAAGTGCATGGGCACATTGCACCAACATACTCTGATCCAGGGAACTGAACTAAATGGAATTTACCCCATGCAGCTCTTTCATGTGTGCATAAGTGCTTTTGCACCCATAGGAATTAATTGAATTCATTGTTTCTGCTGCTTGTTGTCCTCGGAGTGCTACAGGGTCTAGATCAGAGGCTCCCAAACGCTGGTTTGTGGTCTACAAGCTTCATTCATGTGGTTGCAAGGATATCTATACTCACTCATGCACTTGATTTTAATTTTTTTTCTGATGGTGAAGACTTGGTCCTTTTTGGCCATTGCCGGTTTTATTGAACAGGCAAAGAAGACCATAGCCTAGGACCTGTGATTTTCACAATAAGGTGCTGATGCAGTCAACTAATATTTCCCTAGCTATTAAATAGGACTTATGTGTGTGCTTTGATTTTTAGAGCAAAGTGAAGTTTACTGATCTGCCAAGGCGTGCAGCAGCTTTCAAATGGTGGGTTTGAGAACCACTGGTATAGATCCATTGTCCAATAGGTACCTTTGCAGCTACCTTACTCTGCTTATCATGTTTGTTTAGTAAAGTCTAGCTCTCAGTTTGAGAAGTGCTGCCGGGAATTTCTTGCAGAGCAATGGATGCCCTTGATATGCCGTCTGCTTGAAAAGAAACAGAAGGTGCTGAGCAGTTTCCTGGATTGGGCCCACTGTTTCACTTCTGGGAGATGGGCTCAGAGACCGATGTTAGCTTTTTCCATTTGTGAAAAAAAAAATAGTTTACACTCTTGTGCACAATTGCCTGGAAGCAAGTTCTACTGAACTCAGTAGGGCTTACTTCTGAGTAGAAATGAATAGGATTGCACCCTTCTGTTTCCCAGAATTCATTGTATTCATTGCACATGCCGTGTTACTTATATGAAAATCAGGTGAATCTGTTTGTTTACTTGTTGTTGTTTTTAAAAAATGAATAAGTTAAATCAAAAGTATGTAGAAATTAATTTACATTGAACAGGGGAAATGCTTTTGAGTTGTAATAAAAAAAAGTTTGTGACATGTGGTGTTTTATATGTCATGTATAATAATGTAAAACCAATGTTAATGTTTGGTATAATTTTTTAAATTTCTTAAAGGGCACTTGAGTAAGTGATTCTTACAAGTGAAGAAAAAAAAGATCTTTTGTTTCATATTAAATATTTTATGGTGTGATTTTTCTCTCTATTTGAGTTTGTTACTCATTTCTCATTTGCTTTAGGGTGTATCTACTGTTTGAGTTGTAGATAAGACATGATCCAGCCAAATGTAGGAATCCCATTGGTTTTAATGGGAGAGACTTCAGTGCAGTCCTATTAAAAAAATCACCTCAAAATGAAGTCCTGTTGAGTTCAGTGGGGCTTACTTGCAGGTATGTGGGTATAGGATTGCAGGCTCAGTTTCCCACTGAAATTGAATTCTTAAAATTTGCATGTATATGTTAAATGATGGGGAACCTTTGGCCTTCCAGACTTGTTGGACTTCAAGTCCCATCAGCCTCAGCCAGCATGGGCTGGATCTAGACACATCGAAGAAGCGTTTCAGTTAAATGTGTTGCAAACTTTGAGAAATTGGGTTAGCAAAAACGGAACTTCGCAGCGCTATCTGGTGTCAGTGTTAGAATAAGGTTACCAGACATCCCCATTTCCTGGGGACAGTCCCCGGATTTACAAATCAGCCCCCTGACAAAATCTATCTATTTAGTAGGAAGTTGAGAAGTGTCCCCGGATTCATTGAAAAAAATCTGGTAACCTTATGTTAGAACGTATAAAACAATGCATATAAAGCGTTTTTTCTTTGCCAGTGTAGCTGAGTCCATGGCCAGTGGTCAGGGATGATGAGCTACAACTTCAGTTAAAAGTTTAGGATGATGATAATTTGAGTTGTTGATACCTAATAGAAGTAGCCCAAGAGGTCCCTTGCTTTGTCTCTAGGTGTGGCGGTGACAGACATGAGCTTTGATGATTCAAAACTAGATGAGACATTAATAGAGAAGGGGCTGGGGAGCATTAAGCTCAGGGGCAGTTTGGAGATGTGGCCCTCCCGACCTCTCTGTTTGGACCTCGGAACTCTCCAGGCCACATTCCCCATTCATTAGCCCTACTGCATGCCCTCAAGCGATTTTGAGTGCATGGAATGATCTGTGACATGTGATGATGCCTCTTGCTTGCCTGTGTGTGTAGAAATCCCTGCAATACAGCCTACTGTACAAAGGTCAGAATCACATCCAATGCTCCACCCACTTTTTGCTTCTGGCTCCACCCACCGCTTGCATTCAGGGGCCCCCTCCAGGTTACCCACAACTTGCCCTCTGGGGTTTAGCCTGCCTGCTCCACTGCTTTCTGTTGCTTTCTCCCTCCCCTCCCCACTCCAACTTTGCCCTCCTGCTCTGCCCACTTTCCAAGCATTATGCCACCCTGGTCTCTTCTCCAAGTTCACCAGACAATAAGGGATAAGGGTCATTAAAAAATTATAACACCTGGGTCCAGAAGCATTCTGCACAAATCAATATGTTGAGTGCAGCCGGAGCTTGTAAAATGGCAGTTCTTGGGCAGAGCACATGGCTGAACAGTTTTTAACATGGAAAAAAAGGAGGTGGTAGTAACCAGCTGATCTCAGCCTTGGCAAGTCTATTGCGGGCTCTGATGCCACATCTGTTTCCCACAGTGCTGCCATTGCCTCGGGGGGTGGTTTGAAGTGCCCCATAAGTTGTGGGTGCCCAGACCTAATCCCCTGGCCAGAGGCCCCATTACTTCCATGGCTGCATGAAAGAGGCTGTTTCTGCAGGTGTGGCCTTTTTGCCCCTCCAATTTAAGCTTTACCTGCCGCAACTGGCATTTCTTTTTACCCAACTAAAAGGCACAGGTGCTATGCTTTGCCTTGGGTCTATCCGTGGCTGTCTGCCATGGTAGCTAAATGGACCCCCCATTCCTAGCAGTATGGGAG